ACTCACTGTTATATAATCTTCTGTGACTACTTAATATAAGACTGCAAATCAGTATTTTATTTATTTGCTCACAGGTTTCAATATAAGACATTAGAATCTGACTTCCATCCTCAAAGGAGCTGCAATAATTTCAAAGACCTTCAGTGCATCTTTAAGGTAAGAAATGTACACATGTTCTTGCGTTTATAATAAAACAACATATAATTAATATTTATAATAAACACAGTAGTTCGTTTACTAATTAAATAGGCATAACTAAATTATAATTACAACTAAAGTATGAATAATATTATAAAATTATTTGGAAACACTTTATTTTGATAGTCCACATTAGACATTGTAATGCAGCGAGTTTATGCTTATGCAATCATGTAATCTTACCACCTGCTAGACTTCGAATTTTTGACACTGCGCTCTGTGCATGTCACAATGGCTCTCTCACAGACGTACAAGACTCGGTGTTGTCACAAAAACAAGTCTGTACAAAATCACACTTACAACTGGAACTTAAAACACAGGCAGAACATGGAGGGGTGACAATTCAATACCGGACGAGGAACAAAAAACACTGCGCATGGGGAAACATGACATAAACACATGATGACAACATCTAGGACAAGACTGCAGTTGGAAAAGAGTCAACTATGTATTATATAGTGGCTGCCTAACAACATAAACGCACAGTGCAGTGCTCTTTTCTAAATTCAAAAGACAGTACAATGCACAATCATATTCTGGCTTCAGCCTTAAACTTATCCAGCGTTTCAGCTGACTCCCATTAGAATATTAAAGGAGTATAGCTTTGTTAGTTTAGGGTTAGCAGAATTATTGGAATGGCAAAGTTACTTATCATCAAGAAAATGTCTTCTCTGGTCCAATAAAACAACGAGTTAAACCATTTTTATATAAAAGCAGACAGTTCCACTTATTTTTTATTTGTTAAAATTAACAGCAAATAAACATTGTAAACTACGTTTTTTATTATTGAATATATTGTTCCCCTTCGGTTGGGGAACTTCAGTGCCATAGAGTGGATGAAATCCACGAATGGGAGGATTCGGTTCAGAAGCCGCTTGTCTGAAAGAGTATTGAACGGGCCAATGAATGCAATGAATTGGCAGCGTAAGCTTGCACAGGTGTACTTCATTGCCAATTATCCCAGCATATAAGCACACCTGGAGCGAGCAGACGCCATCCTTTTCGCTTCAGAGACTTTCTGATCTCGTCGATGAGGGTTCCTCCTGCTGTGACCAGCGATTCTGAGCGAACGAGAGCATTCTCCCGGTCCAGAGTGTGTACACGCAGCGGCAGACGGTCGAGCTGGGTTTCTCCCTTGCCTGGCGTTCTTTGGGTCCGGTCCTCCAGAGCGGTGCGTATAAAGATGCAAACTTCACAGAAAGAGCAACACAGTCGTGCAGCACGTCCTTTTCAGGACGGCCCTCCGACTGTGCGTTTCTGGATGCGGTGGTTTCCTGTCCTCGGATGATGGGCACGGGCACTGCGTTACATGCCTGGGGGTCCAGCATGTTAATGCGCTGCTCGTGGACAGTTCATGTTGTCATTGCGATGCCATGACTGTTGCACAGTAAAGATCACGGCTAGCCTTTGCAAAAAAACAGATCTGAGGGTTCTGTTCTAACCCTACAGGCCTGGGTGTCTCTAGAACAGGCGTCCAGTCTTGTTGTCGTTTCAGCAGACGCTTCCAACACGGGCTGGGGGGCTGTGCGTTGCAGCCATGCGGCTGCGGACCTGTGGAAAGGTACCCAGTTGCATTGGCATATCGCCTGGCGCTGTTGTATCAGCCGTATGGGGGTATGCGCTCTCGCCGCATGTCTCAGCTCGCCCGCCGTCTGCTCCTCTGGAGTCATCCGCGGCTGAAATCGCTGCTCACCATTCATATTCAGGCAAGCTCAACCGTGCAGCCGATGCGCTCTCACGGCAGCCTTACGTCCTGGAGAATAGAGACTCCACCCGAGTCTATTCAGCTGATATGGGCGCGATTCGGGGAAGCCCAGATCGATCTGTTGCTTCCCCCGAGATCACTCATTGCCAGTTGTTCTTTCCCTGACCGAGTGCTCTCGGCACGGATGCACTGGCTTACAGCTGGCCTCGGGGCATGCGCAAATACGCGTTTCCCCCAGTGAGCCTGCTCGCGCAGTTACTGTGCAAGGTCAGGGAGGACGAGGAACAGGTTGCTGGTTGCGCCCCTCTGGCTCAACCGAACCTGGATGTCAGAGCTCTCCCTCGCGATAGCCCTCCCCTGGCAGTCCCTTCGAGAGAGCACCTACTCTCTCAGGGACAGGGCACCATCTGGCACCCTTGCCGATCTTTGGAGGTCCTTAGACGCGAGGAAGACTTAGGTAACCTCCGATTGCGGTGGCTAATACCGTCACTCGGGCTAGAGCCCCCTCCCCGAGCGCGCCTATGCCCTGAAGTGGTGTCTATTCACTGAATGGTGTGTCTCTCGCAGAGAAGACCCCCGTAATTTGCCAGATCAGCGTTGTGCTTTCTTTACGCCAAAAGAAGCTGGAGAGCAGGCTGTCGCCCTCCACACTCAAGGTTACGTGGCTGCCATCTCCGCTCTCATAACGCCGTGGCTGGCAGCACCGTGGGAACGCATAACCTCATCATCCGGTTCCTCAGGGGCGCTAAGCGAATTAATCCACCCCGCCCCCTCTCATGCCCTCTTAGGACCTCGCCCTCGCTACACAAGCCACGTCAGATCCCTTCGATCCTCGACTCAGTATCTTTCTGTCCCTGAAGACAGCTCTGCTGGTCGCGTTGATATCGATTAGAGGGTCGGGGACCCGGAGGCATTTTTCGGTCAGTGACTCGTGCCTGTAATTGGGCTGGCTTTCTCTCACGTCCTGAGACCCCGCCCGTGATATGTGCCCAAGGTTCCTACCACTCCGTTTTAATAAGAGGTAGTGAGCCTGCAAGCGCTGCCCTCGGAGGAGGCAGACCCAGCCCTTCTTTATTGTCCAGTTCGCGTTTTGCGTATTATCCGGACCGCACTCAGAGTTTAGATCATCTGAGCAGCTCTTCGTCTGTTATAGTGGTCGGCAGCAGGGAAGTGCCGTACCGAAATAAGTTCCCACTAGATTGTGGATGCCTTTCTTTCACTATCAGAGCCGAGGTGAGCCGCGTCCCCCGAGAGCGCGTGCGCACTCCACTCGGAGCTTCGCATCCTCTCGAGCGCGCGCACGCGGCGCCTCTCTAACAGACATCTGTAGAGCTGCGGGCTGGGTGACACCCAACACATTTGCAAGGTTTTACAATCTGCGAGTGGAGCCGTTTCCTCAAGGGTATTAGGTAACCCTTGGTGATTGAGGAAACAATTCGGTAGAGTGTTGAAACACGCTTGCTGCGCCATTCTCCCTAACACGGAGGTACGTGCGCCTTTTTATCTGTCAGTAAAGTTCCCCGTCAGGTGAGCCCTGCAGATTCCTCCGTGGCCCCCAGCACTGACTCAGCGGAGGAGTCACTTGCTGGCCCACTACGTTGTAGGTCTGCCCGCTGGTCAGCCCCGTTTTGGGTAAAGGTGCCTGCTAAGCGTGATCCCCACTAGGCGATCCCATATGCTTATTCCGCCACGGTTAAGTCCCCCCCCTGGGCGGACCCGTGTCTTCCCTCTCCGCTAACCACTCTTTTGCTATGCGTACTCCCCCTTTTTTGGGCTAGTCCATATGTAAATTCTGCCATCTATCCCCCTTGGGTAACGGATGGCCTCCGCAGCGTCCTCCCTATCAGGATTGCACGCTTCCCAACGTACTGTCGTATTTTCCTAGAATTATCTAGATGCTCACAACTTCCCAAAAATATATCTAAATCCGTAAAACTTCTGTTGAAGTAGGATAAATTAGGGCCAGGGACATGTTGGAGGACCGCGCCTCCCATGATGTGGGTGCGTCACGCTTGCTTGACAATCCCCTCATCGGGGGCGTTGGTAAGGTGCAGTCATTATGGCGCTTTCCATACTTCTCCCATTCGTGGATTTCATCCACTCTATGGCACTGAAGTTCCCAAACCGAAGGGGAACGTTCGAGGTTACAGAAGTAACCCTTCGTTCCCCGAGGAGGGGAACGGAAGTGCCATACTCCGTCGCCATAATGACTATCCCTTAGATGGCGTCTAAAAAGATGGCGTCTGCTCGCTCCAAGTGTGCTTATATGCTGGGATAATTGGCAATGAAGTACACCTGTGCAAGCTTACGCTGCCAATTCATTGCATTCATTGGCCCGTTCAATACTCTTTCAGACAAGCGGCTTCTGAACCAAATCCTCCCATTCGTGGATTTCATCCACTCTATGGCACTTCCATTCCCCTCCTCGGGGAACGAAGGGTTACTTCTGTAACCTCGAACGTTCTGAATCAGTATGGATGTGCAGTGTGGCTTAAAGGGACAGTTCACACAAAAATTAAAACACTCACTATTTACTTTCCCTCAAAGGCTCCAGACCTTTTCTTAATTTGAACACCAGTATCTTACTGTTGTTGAACACAAAAAAATATAAATTGAAGAAAGCTGGAAACCAGTAATCATCAACTTTCATCGGTTCATCATTAATTTCCAGCTTTCTTCAAAAAATCTTCTTTTGTGTTCAACAGAATTAAGAAACTCAAACTGGTTAAAAATAAGTAAAGAGCGAGTAAATGATGACAGAATGTTCAGTGTTGGTTGAACTGTCTCTTTAATTGTTCTGTTTTTTATTTTGCTTGTAGGGGCTTGAGAGCAAAATGTTCAACTTCCTGAAGAAAGAGTTGGAAAATTTTAAGGAAATCTTACGAAAAGAAAACACACAATACCTTGTAAAGGATTTTAATAAGAACAGATGCAGCATCAGAGAAACAGCTCTTGATCTTACACTTTACTTCCTGAGAGAAATGAAGCAAGATGAAGCTGCAGATACTCTAGAAGGTGAGAGACTCAATGTCATAATGTCAATTATAAAATATTAAAGAGAACAATGAAAATTAAAGGTATATTCCTCTGTGTGTAGATGAGCTGTTCTTCATTCATCAGCTGAAATGTGGCCTACAGAAGAAGTATCAGTGTGTGTTTGAAGGAATTGCACAGCAAGGAGACTCCACACTCCTGAAGAACATCTACACAGATCTCTATATCACTCAGGGTGGCAGTGAACAGGTCAATACTGAACATGAGGTCAGGCAGATTGAAGTTACTTCCAGACGTCATAAAGCTCAAGAGATACAGGTTGAATGCAGACATTTGTTTGAAGCGTCTGAACAAGACAAGCAGATCAGAACTGTACTGACAAAAGGAGTCGCTGGCATCGGGAAATCAGTCTCTGTGCAAAAGTTTGTTCTGGATTGGGCTGAAGGAAAAGAAAATCAAGAGATCAGCTTCATATTTCCTCTTCCATTCAGAGAGATGAACTTAAAGGAGAAAGAAACACCCAGTTTGATGGAGCTTATAACTCAGTTTTACCCAGAGACAAAAGGACTGAACCTTACAAGAAGGAATCGATTCAAAGTCCTGTTCATCCTTGATGGATTGGATGAATGTCGTCTTCCTCTGAACTTTGCTGGTAATGAGACGTGTCGTGATGTTTCGTCACCAGCCTCTCTGGATGTTCTCCTGACGAACCTCATCAAGGGAAATCTGCTTCCTTCTGCTCTCATCTGGATCACCAGCAGACCAGCAGCTGCCAGTAAGATTCCTCCTGACTGTATCGACAGAGTGACAGAGATACGAGGATTCAATGATGCACAAAAGGAGGAGTACTTCAGAAAAAGACTCACAGATGAGAGTCTGGCCAAAGAAATCATTGATCATGTTAAAAAATCAAAGAGTCTTTTCATCATGTGCCACATCCCAGTCTTCTGCTGGATTTCAGCCACTGTTCTCCAGAACATTTTACAGAAGAAGAGAAAAAATGTGAAAAACAATCAGGCTGATGACGCCTCCAAAACACTGCAGGAATCAAACACTGAAGACACTCCCAAGACTCTGACACAAATGTACACACACTTCTTGCACGTTCAGATCAAGCAGAGCAGACAAAAGTATGATGGAGAAAACAAACCAGATGTGTCCTGGGATAAAGACGCCATCCTTTCACTGGGGAAACTGGCATTTCAGCAGCTGCTAAACAACAACCTGATCTTCTATGAAACAGACCTGGAAGCCTGTGGTATTGACGTCTATAAAGCTGAAAAGTTCTCAGGCATGTGTACTGAGATCTTTAAGGAGGAAACAGGGATTGTTCTTGGTACCATGTACTGCTTTGTTCACTTGAGTGTTCAAGAGTTTATTGCAGCCCTTTATGCACATCTGATTCTGAACATCAACAATAGAAGTGTGTTTGATCAAAACACAAGAAATAGAAATGTGTCCATGATTGATTTGCTGAAGACTGCAGTGGACAAGGCACTTGAGAGTGACAATGGACACCTGGACCTTTTCCTTCGCTTCCTCCTTGGTCTGTCACTCCAGTCCAACAGTGGAATCTTAAAAGGCCTGTTGACACAGCAAGACCACAATAACTGGAGCAAATGGAAAATACTTCAGTACTTCTTTAGAACAGTAGATCAGCAGCAAGACCACAATGACCAGATCAAAGAGGAAATAGTTCATTACATCAAGCAGAAGTTTGAAGCAAATCTTTCTCTTGAGAGATCCATCAACCTGTTCCACTGTCTGAATGAACTAAACGATCAAACTCTGGTGAAAGAGATTCAGTCTCACCTTAGCAAAGGAAGGTACTCATCTTCTGACCTTTCACCTGCCCAGTGGTCTGCTCTGGTCTTTGTGTTGTTGACATCAGATGAAGAGATGGAGGAGTTTGAGCTTCAGAAATTCAAGAAATCAGACGAGTGTCTCATCAGGCTATTAGCTGTCATCAAAACCTGCAAAAGAGCACTGTAAGTCAGTCAAAATAAATGAAAATGTGTTGTGTATCTTGCATCTTTCCCTTGTAGTTTAACTAGTTGTAACTTAATAGACAAAAGCTATTCAGCTTTGAGGACAGTTCTCTGATCGGATAGCAGTCTTAAAGAGCTGTATTTGTACAATAATATTCTACAGGAATTGGGAGAAAAGCTGCTCTTCACTGGACTAAAGCTTAAAATAAAATTTAAATGGTGGTTTTGAGATGCTGAGCTAAGGTGTGAAACAGTTCATAGCTCAAGCAAAACTTTGGTCAGTATGCAGAGGGTGTTAATTAAGTGTCATTATCAGGAAAAATAATAACTTATTTTCTTAGAGAGATGCACCCATTGTAATTTTTTTAGGTTGATTTCAGATTTTCTGTTAAGTGTCACCGCAAATACAGATTTTTGCTTATGCTATTTATTTATTTATTTTTATTTTTTTTACCTAAGAACCATACATATACTAATAATAGTATATTTTATTTATAATTCGCATAACTTTATAATTACAGCTTTATAGATGGGCATAAAATTACATCTTTCCTGATTTTCTTTTACCTTGTCTTTTGATAATAACTTGACTGCTTGTCTCTTTAAACAATTCTTTGACTGAATTTATTTACTCATGCAACAAACATTTGAAAAATATCTTGAAAGAAAATCTTAAATTATGACTTAATATGGCTTAAATTACATTTACATAAATTTAATTCTGTCATAATTTTATCATGCATATGATCAACTTGTAACAAGCTGTGCTACTTTTCCATTGTTTTTCAATGTAAGCACGTGGTTGACAGACATGCATGGCCTTTACCCTCTGCCTTTTGAGGTGCCACACACAAGCATACATGTGGCTGTGAGTTTTAGCATGAGGGTCTCATGACAACAGACCATCTAAAATTGGACAAATGACTGGTCAGGCCGGTCATGCAATACCTAAATAGCCTAATCACCTGCATCTTCATTCACTTTTACTGTCCCGCGCCAGATTCATAAACCTTGATACTAAGTGACTACTTTAACAACAATTAACAATTCTGAAATATTAGACATGTAATAGTGTTGGTGTGATAGTATGGTGAAAAATCCACTTTTCAAGCTGTTTGTACAGACGTATGTAGATATAGTGTATAGACCGCCATATTGGGGTGATATAAACGCACCCAGTCCTTTTTTTTTTTATTTAACTACATAAAAACGGTGGACCAATTAGAGCGGTTTTTAGAGCGACCGCAACTTGATGTAGGAGTGCGGTCTCCCCGCCCACCGAATTGATTGACAGCTGCGCATATTAACTTGTCACGTGTATAATCATGTCAACAAGACCAGACGTGCACAAAGCAACCAGGATTAAAAGGTCTGTTCAGTTCTAGGATCATCAATCATCAATTGCGACAGCGATTTACTTCAGCTTTACTTCATCAGCACAGCCACGTGTCAGAACAATTATAAAAGAAGACACTTCAATCCTGGTTTGTGGACGTTAAATCAGGTTTATTTTAAGAGTTTACACTTATATATTGTTTGACAACTGTTAGCAGGTTTGACATGCTGTCCCGGGAGAGAACCCTGAGCTCGGAGATAGTTGAGCCCAGGGCTCCCGCCAGGTCCATAGAGCGTGTGAGGGGAGTACAAGATCAGGTGTTTCTCGAGAGCTCCCCTGTGGTAAAAAAGGAATGGAAAACAAGGGGTGGATGGGTGGTTTCTTCGGAAAACGAAGATAAGGGAGTAGGTCTAGCTAGGCTTTTTATGGTGAGTTAGGATTAATTTGATTGGCTATCTAATAAATGTAGATGGTTGACCAGCTGCAGTCAATCATATCACATGCTCCTCTCGAAATTAGTTTTTAAAACTTCACTTTGTACATTAACATAACAGATATTTATACAGCAGCAGAGATTAAGCTGTATCCTGTCACATTTGCGTTCAAAAACAGTGCAAAGCTAAATGCGCGCTCTGTATGTCTGTGTGTGTGAATGTCTGCTGTGGTGTATGTATGCGTGTGCGCACGTGTGAACTTTGTAATGACATTGTGTGTGACTCATCGATGTAATTGCACAACAACTACTCATTGGTAAAGTTCTTTCTGTAGTATTTCTCACAAACGCTACCTGAGATCTGCTTCCTTTAAGTCTGTCTGTTGTCTGACGCAGCCGAGGTAGAAGATTATGGCATGCAGAAAGGCACTAAAAATGGTAGGCGGGGAGGACTACAACCCCCTGGTGGAAAAATGTATAAAATAGGATCTTGTAAAAGGTATAATGAAAAATCTGATGGGTGTTTTGATCTGAAACTTTACAGACATATTCTGGAGATGCAAAACACTTATATTAAATCTGAAAAAATGGGTAACCTAGGTGCCCTTTAAAATATTTTCAACACTCTCAAAATTGTTTATTTGTTGTCTTAAATAGCCATCAGCTATTAGAACATGTGTTTTTGTAGAACAAATGAATGTTACAGTATGTTATCTTTTGTTCTGAGCTTTTTAAACTTAATTCATTTTGTTTGCTGATTCAGCTATACATCTTGCTTTTATAGATCTGCTGTGAATCTTCAGTGTTTGTATTTATTTTCAGGCTCAGTAAGTGTAATCTAACAGAGGAAAGCTGTTCAGCTCTGGCTTCAGTTCTCAGATCAGACTCCAGCAGTCTGAAGGATCTTGACCTGAGCAATAATAATCTGCAGGATTCAGGAGTGAAGCTGCTCTCTGATGGACTGAAGGACAGTAACTGTACACTGGAGAAACTCAGGTGAGCAGATGTCTTTATTTGCTTAAATTTGCTAATAACAGTTCTGTAATTTTGTATATATAAATACAGTATATAAGCAAAAATGTTATTTGCTTTTCTAGACTTTCAGAGTGCGGTATCAATGAAGAAGGTTATAAAGCTCTGGCTTCAGCTCTGAGATCAAACCCTTCACACCTGATAGAGCTGGATCTCAGAGGAAATGATCCTGGACCATCAGGAGTGAAGGAGCTCACTGATTTACTGAAACCAGACTATACACTTAAAACACTGAGGTGAGACTGAATGAATTAATACAAAATAAATGATACTACTGGTTACAAAGTGTAAAGCAAAACTGAGGTCAGATATTATTTGGGATTTGTTTTTTTGCTTTTCATCCAAATATTTTATTTAGTAAATTATTTTTAATCAAAGAAAATTAACCGATTTTATACATTGTCAGATGCTATTTTTCATTAAAAAACGTTTAAAAGTGAATTAAATTTAACATCTTCTCTTCAGGTTTTTGAGTCCTGCTGCAGAAGAAGTCTTTCAGTTTGTGACTAAAATTGTGGGTAAAAACCCGTTACTCCTGAAAGAACTGAATCTGAGTGATCGTGAACTAGGAGATACACGAGTGAATCAACTCTCTGCTCTGCTGCAGGATAAACACTGTAGACTCAACACACTCATGTGAGTATTGCACATTGTTTTCAAAAGTATAAAAATAATGTATATTATTGTAAGAATTTTTTTTTTTAAATGAAATCACTAAATTGGTGCCATCTTGTGTCTGAATGTTGTATGCTGCAATTGTTTACATTTTTCATCCTTCAAGCTTTGTCTATTTAAAGAGTTGGTGAATTATTACAGCACATGTTAATGTTTTATGTTCAATCTATTTTATTTATTTATTTCCTTGTAGAATAAAGCGCTTCAGTCTTAATTAAAAGCTGCTAAAAAGCCCACCTGGCTTTATTCTAAGATAACATCTACCTGGATGTACATTATTACCCTTTGTCTAATGAAACACTATTACAACTATAATTCCTTTTGTATACTTGTGTGTTATATCTGGAAATGTTTCCTCTCTTTGTTTTCTTTCTCTTCAGGCTGAATAATAACAGGATTACAGCAGAAGGTTGTGCTGCTTTGACTTTTGCATTTAATTTAAATCCTTCACACCTGATAGAGCTCAATCTGAGTGGGAATAAACTAGGAGACTCAGGAGTAGAGAAGATCTGTCCTCTGCTGGAAAATACACAATGCCAATTAGAGAAACTGAGGTATGTATTTTTATTTTTTGTACATTTTCACATTAATATAGTGAACAAAACTCTTAAAATGACTCTTTAATTATGTTGGCTGAAAATAAATATAAATTTTTGAATAATGTGATGGTTAATAAATAATGATGGGATTTATGTTTTGAATGTACTGATCATTCAACATGTTAGGTTAATAATGTATTTTCATTAAATATGGCATTTTTTTCAAGCATCATATATATATATATATATATATATATATATATATATATATATATATATATATATATATATATATATATATATATATATATATATATATATATATATATATATATATATATATATATATATATATATATATATATATATATATATATATATATATATATATATATATATATATATATATATATATATATATATATATATATATATATATATATATATATATATATATATATATACACATACATTACACACATAAATATATATATATATATATATATATATATATATATATATATATATATATATATATATATATATATATATATATATATATCTATATATATATATATATATATATATATATATATATATATATATATATATATATATATATAT